AGTTTCTAAACCTGATTAGTGCAGCGATATAATGTATTTGATTTCTGATTATTTTACCAGGTGAGTCTGCCGGTGATTTCCAGGTATAGAGTCTACGGTGCGGGAGCTTAAAGAGAGTGTTGTGTAAGTGTGTAGGTGTAAGTACTAGCTTGTGTTCTTGGCAAAATTGAACTAGACGATCTCCTCTTTCGTTTCTTTCACCAAGTCCGAAATTTCCCACTACCTTTCCTGTTTTGCCTCGTCCTACTTTCTCGTTGAAATCTCCCATTATAAGTGCTATTTCATTCTTTTTGGTTGCATTAATTAAGATTTCTAGTTGTTCGTAGAAGTCTTCTATTATTGTTTCCTCTTTGTCAGCTGTAGGTGCGTATATCTGTATTATGTTCAAATCAAATGAAGACGCATACAGCTGTAAAAGAATCGATCGGTCTGATAGTGCAGTATAGGATTTTATTCACGATTTTAAACGAGGTGCAACGATTATGCCAACTCCATGATTGTGTTTAGGGGTATCGTTACCAGAGTAGTACATTGCATGGTCTAGGATATTACATTCTCCCGAGTTGGGCCAATGAGTTTCACTGCTACCCATTATATCGATTTTGAGTCTCTTGACTTCTTTTACCATGTTATGTGCTTTGCCACTTTCGTACATACTTTTAACGTTCCAGGTGGCGATTTGTAAGTATCATAATTTAGGTGTTTTACTCTTCAAAATTGTTTTATTGTTGCAAGGATTTCGCATGATGTCGACCTGGGAGGCCTTGCATTCTGAGTATCCTCCCTTGCCGGATCTTGACTTCCGAAGTCCATGATCAGTAACATATTCCTTATCACTACCGAAAGCCATGATAATTTTCCAGATGGGTGATCTGAATGCCTATAATGCCCTTTGGGGAAGTCAGGTAACTACTAATGCTAATAGAAGTGTATTTGCTGACTCTCTAGAGGATTTGAATCTAGTTTTTTGCAATGATGAAAGATCCACACGGATTACTAATGAAAAGTGGGTTTAAAGAATATAACACCTTTACGCAAATTATGGAGAAGGTGAGTGATGAAAAAATACCTTTTTTGGAAATAAAAAAGCACACAGGAAAATAGATAAGTCCTCCATGGTGGGACACGGAATGCTCAAATTTAATTAAAATGAGGAAAGAAAAAATCAAAAAATACAAAGAAGATGCAAGTCCAGATAATTGTATAGAAATCAAAAAAATCTTTGCCTATAGTAAAAAAATATTTAAAAATAAAAAAAGAAATAGTTTTAGATGTTTTGTAATGGACTTAACAGGGACACTCCTCTAGCAGAAATATGGTGAACTGTTAAACAGTTCTTCACATATCAAAATGCAATAATTAATGCCAAACTTCCCAGCAAACAGATAGCTTTGGATATATTAAATAAATTGGGAATTGATATAACAGATCCAGAATTTACTGTTATCCAATCCAATGAGAATATGGAGGACATTTCTAGAGAGGAAATAATAAGTGTCATTAAAAAAAAAGGATAAGGCAACTGGCTTAGATATAATAACATAAAGTATGATTGGTAGACTTCCTCAGGTAGCATTAGAATCACTGTCAATAATAGTTAATCAAATAATGAACAGAAAAGCTGAATTTCCACAAGAATGGAAAAATACTCTTGTTATTTCTGTTTTAAAACCCTATAAAGTTCCATTGTGTGCAGACAACTATAGAAATATTGCCCTAGAGTCATGTGTGGGCAAAATACCCCAAAATATAATTAAATTAAGAATTGAACAAATAATTGAAAAAAATTGTATATTGAATCCAAAACAGATAGGATTTAGAAGAAATAAAGGATGTAACGATAATTTAGCTTTAACAATAAATTATATTAGAACAGTATTTAGTAAAAATTTAAATACAATCGCAATTTTTTTGGATATTAGTAGGGCATATGATACTGTCAATACGTTTTTGCTATATAAATATCTAATTAAGTATGGTATTCCAACAACCTATACAAACCTAATTATGCAATTCTTAATCAATAGAATTATTTATATTACAGATAAATCAAACAATATACTAGGCCCAATCCAATCATCAACTGGTTGCCACAAGGGTCACCTCTCAGTCCAATATTGTTTAATTTGTACTCACATGATTTAATCAAACCTGAAATGGAGTGCTTCCAATATGCAGATGATTTTGTAATTCTGGTATAAGGGTCAGATATATCGTCGTATCTGATATTTACAGCAGACGTTCCAACCAGCAATGATACCTTCTTAGCTACATTTCCGATAACACGGAATCTTGACAGTGGATATTGACCCTGATGCAGCATCACAAAAAGTACAAAATCATTTACATTAATTACAAAACTGGCTTAAGCGATGGAAGATCAGTGTTAATGCTAGCAAATCAGTACAAATTACTTTTACAACAAGAAAATCTGCATGTCCACAAGTTTATATTAATCATACTTCCATTCCTATAAAACCAGTTATAAAATACTTGAAATTGCATCTGGATGAAAAACTTACATAGACAACGTACATTAAAACTAAAAGGAAACAACTAGATCTTAAACTAATAAATATGAACTGGCTATTTAATAAAAAGTCTCAGACCAGTTTGGGCATATGGAATAGACCTATGGGGCTGTAGTTTGTAGTAAACCTTCAAATAAGAAGATACTTCAAACATTTCAATCCAAGATACTTTAAACATTTGAATCCAAAATACTTCGAAGTAAAGCTCCATGGTATGCATCTAACCAAACATTTTACAATGATCTGTTCATCCCATTCATTACTTAAGGACATAATAAAGAATCACTCAATAAAATATAAAAATTACACCACTGATTACAACAACGAACTGATGAATAATTTATTCACCCAACCACTTGCCGAAAGAAGATTGAGGAGGGTATGGCCAGAAGACCTACCGCAATAATACTTAGAGAGAACCTTCACTAGACGGTACCTAACGTTAATTTACTTACAGTCTATTTACTTACTACTCTGTGTATAGAGTCGATTGTAAAGCTGCAGTGTATCTTGTTATTAGATCTGAGAAACTGGCAGATAAGGAACATAAGAACGAAGAAATGCAAAAAGTCAAAACAGCTCTAAGAAAAAATGGCTTCTCCATGTACACGATTGAAAAGGCACAGAAATCCCGAAACAAAATCAAAGATCCAAAAGAAGAGGAAAAACCAGTCGGAAAAACTATCCTGCCCTATATAAAGGGTACGACAGACAAAATCAGCAGAGTGCTACGTAAAAACAACATAGAAACTATTTTTAACACCGACAAAAAAATCGCAACCATATTACCATCGGCAAAAACAAAAGTTGCATTGGAAAATCAAGGTGTATACAGAATCCCGTGTGAGGACTGCGATAAATCGTACATCGGACAGACAAATCGAAGGATACAAGTTAGACGCGAAGAACATCGAAACGCCATCGAAAGAAAACAGAAAACTTCATCTCTAGCACAACATACCATCAACACAGGACACAAAATCGACTTAAATGGAACAACAATGCTAGCCAATATCGAAAATAAGACCAAACGTGTAATCAGGGAAGCCATAGAGATCGAAAAACATCCAAAAAATTTAAATACCAGAGACGATGCCCAAAGACTCCCAAATACGTGGAAACCAATTCTGCAGAAAAACGTAGAAATTAAAATAGCGAAGAAGACCCCGCCCACTCTGCGCACAGGACCAATCACAAGAAGCGCTTCAAGGTATTTAAACTTAGCGAGCAGCGACCGAGAAATCAGTTCTCTTGAAATATTAAGAAGAAGCAGAACTAATCTGACTTGACAATGGCAAGTGTGACCTTGCCGAAACGTCGTCAAAACAATGGTTTTTCTAAAAACCAAAATTACTTAGCGCGGAGTCAAACCCGGAAAACAACTGAAATCACATATAGCTCCCGCGGAAACTTCAAATCCAATATATATATATATATATATATATATATATATAATATATATATATATATATATATATATAATATATATATATATATATTTGCTAAAAACAGTTCTGGCTCCCCATAAAATTTTTAAACTTTTAAGAATTTTTATAAACAATTAAATGTATCTTAAAAATGAATTGACTAATCGGATCTTACAAAGTGTCATTATAAATATAAATATAAGAGCTAAAATATAATAAAGTTCTGAAAATAAAAATGAAGAAAAATTGACATTCTTGGACTTTCAGTCATTAATTTTCCATAAACTATTGGGTAAAATTTAATGTAGCATAGCTCAGATTAAAGCTTTTTTATGTGCTTTTATGATATCGTACTCACTTTATCGTAAAACGTTGATTTCATACAATAATTTACTCTATTTAACTATTCTTCTTTGTATTTCTGGTTGTTCTGTTCCATGTGTAAAGTCAGCTGCCATGATTCAACTGTGTGTCTGTTTTCTCTAGCTCCGGCCTATGTTAGCTTTTTTGTCTTTAAAATATTTATTACTAGTTCGTTCTCTTTTGCCCCTGTTTTTAATTGTAAATATATTTCTGCTGCGTCTTACGTTCTACGAGATATAGTGCTAATTTAGGCGTCAATCATCAGATCAACAATTATTCACCAGTGTATAGTTACGATTTTTTGCTGCCAAAATATAACAAAAGTATGTTTTAATACTTTTTAGTCCTTCTAATTATTAACTTAAACTATAAACAAAACTAAAATATTTTTATTGTTGTATTGTTTGCTGCCTAATCTAAAATGTGATTGTTTATATTGAATACCAAATCTCAAAAAAAAATCGCGTATAATGCAAATAGGATTTTTAGAAAGACATATTAAGAAAACCTAACTAATGTCCTTGTTAATTTTTTGCAGTATGCATTGGTATCTTAATAATTCAATATTTTACAAAGTTTATATTTATCTTTTTTTTACTGTAAATTCTAAATTCTTTAAGTTATCTTATCTATTATTTATCCATGATTTTTTAAGTTTAGTTATATATTTTTGTTTCAGTAACCGACACGATGTGTTTCATGGAGATGCTAACGCAGATTACTTCTTATCAAGTATTCAACATAAGCCAGAATTTCCAAAACTACCATTTGAATGTGGCGTTTCTTATCCATCTAACCAATATCCTTGGCAAGCATCTATCTACCTTCATATTGCCAAAGAAAAAAGATATGCTTGCGAAGCTCTTCTAATAAGTTCCAATTATTTGTTAACAAGTGCTCACTGTGTTACTTTTATAAATGATACTCAGGTCATTCCACGAGCATTCGTAAAAGTTTACCTTGGCAGTGATAAAGAAACAAAGGATCAACATTTTGTCCGCGAAATATTGGTTCATCCAGGTTAGTTATGCTGTATTATTTTTATTGACGTATTTTGTGGGAATAGCTTAGTGGTACTGTGGTGAAAATATAGAGATTTGCTATTTAAAAAATCGTATAAATTTTACTTATTTTACCCTAAAGTTCTTAATTTTTTCAGTTACTTAATATATGAAATAATAATTCCCAGATAACATTTCCAGTCATTGATTATTATTTTTTTTATGTTTAAATTTCTATATTCTTTGGAATCCAATTTTAAAGTTAAAACAGTCGTGTTCTGCTCCCTATTCAAGTGTGAAACCTAATTTTGTATTTACACGTAATATAGAATTTTTTTCGACTTTAACAGCCCAACATTCAATTTGTTAGTACATATATGGCAAGAATATACATGTTAGAATATTTCAAGGAAGTTTTATGAGCCTTCTATTTATATACTTAGAATTTACTAGTATATGGCGTTTAATAGAAGAGCTATAGATTAACTTGTTTTAAAGATTTAATATTGGATATATATACCGGGTGGTGAATCGTCAAACGGGCCATAGGAAACTCAATGGGAAATTTTAAATTGTTGAATTGCTGCTTCCCTAATTATTTTAGAACAAAAGTCATAAAAAACTATTTGTAGAGGACTAAATTCTGAATTAAAAACAAATGTTAAAACCGTTCTACAAATCAAATGTACTTCAAAATTTTGCAAAAATATAATAGATTTTTCAGACCACCCCTAAATGTCAGATGTTTGACAATTTGAATTGTAAATTTTTTTTATTTTATGATTAAATTATAAACAATGAATTTTACTAAATGCTACTACTACTGAACAATATTACTTTGTGAACAATAAATTATATTGTTTACAAATCGATCAATATAATGAAATGTACTCAGTTGACGAAAAATCGCATAATGTTGTATTCAGGTAATAGCGCGAACCTTTTTCTGTTACTACCGGATCTTTATTAACGTAAGATATTCTAATACACTAAAATTTAATTCCATGTTAAGTTATACAACAATTCAATGAATTCCAATATACTGTTACTGTGATCTTTATTATTAATAATAATATATGATAATTTCTAAACATAAAACTGTAACAAATGTTATAATAAAACATTATTGCCCTTTTATTATTGCTCTTTTCTCCTTAACTGAGTACATTTTTTAATCAACTTAATTTTTCTTTTAAATAAATCACAAAATTTTGGCCATTTAAATCATAGATATGAATATAGTATAGTAGAAGAATATAATATAGTAGATTTAAATATTGTCAAATATTAGAAACGTCAATATGACAAAATGCAACACGTAATACACATTCTTTTGTGTATTATACAAAAATTATATTATATAATTATATTATACAAAAATGTATTATATTTTAGCAAAATTTTGGAATACGTTTGTCATAGAACAATTTTAACAATTGGTTTTCGATACATATTTGAGTCCTCTACAAATAGTTTCCCATGAATTTTGGTGTAAAATAATTAGGGAAGCAGGAATTCAACAATTTAGAATTTCTCATTGAGTTTCTTATGGCCCGTTTGACGATTCACCACCCTGTATATATATATATATATATATAATATATATATATATATATATATATATATATATATATATTGGCGGCTTAATATTGGCTATGACCATCTGGCAATAAAACCACGGCTTTCACAGCATCCGTTGGTATTATTGTCAATATAATACAATAGAAATTCTGAACTTAAAATGTTTCTATGTTTCGCTTCTTCAAATTTTCGCTTATAAAAATTAAATTTTTAACAAAAACGTGCATTACTATTTTTTATAGCAATCTAAATTTAACAATAATAGGAATATAGAATAATAACTGTACCCATATAAGGATTTCCCCAAATGTATATATGCCATGTCCTAAGTTTTAAAACTCCCAATAAATGGAAAATATGTCATAAATCGAATTTTTAGCACCTGAGTGTATTATGATAATATTTTGTTAAAACTTTATAGGTATTATACGATATTACAAATATGTAATTTAACTCTTCATATTGTTTCCTAGGTTATAGAGCTGATTCAATTATCGACGATATTGCTATTATCAGACTACTAGACCACGTCGACGTAAATAAAGACTATAGACCAGTTTGTTTGGGAACTGAAAACGGAGATAGTGGCAAATTAGTTATTACTGGTTTCCAGATTGGAAAAGATGGAATTGTTGGAAATCTTCTCGAATCCAATGTTTTGAGAATCGACAATAAAGAATGTATAACAGTAACACCCTACCTAAAGGAAGTTTTAACCAACGACAATTATTGCGTATCATATAAATCAGGTAAATATAAAAACAATAATAATAATTATAATAAATTGATTATCTAAATGTTTAAGATGAACATGAATTAAGTTCAAAATAAGTTAAATAAAAAACACATAAGTATACATGTATAAGCAAATACAGGACAAACACACGCTTGGTTAACATAATGTTTCTACGAAATTTTTTTAACCGATAAATAATATTTTAGCTGTTTTTAAAATTGATTTAAATTTTGATAAGTATTTTTGTTGGTTTACTATAGTATGGTAAGGAGCCAGCCTAGTATGTGAACTTTCTAAAAGCAACACGGTTATATTTTTAATCGAACTTGAGTATTTATGGTTGACGATCACGTCAGTTCTTTTTTTAAACGATTTTACTTCCGATAGTAAAAAGACGCGTAAACAAAATACATATTGTAACTATTAAAGAATCTATAAAGTTTTAATTCACGTATTTCAAATCCGATCCCGTATATCGTATTAATTTGAGTTTTAAAAATCTCCGAAGAATAACACTTTAGTTCGCTTGAAATAGAATAAATATTCACTTGTTTGCTTACACAATTTATTATCAAAGGTTTCAATTAAGAGCGGCGTGAGAATTAATAGTGCTTGTAGGCATTTGCTAGATTCCTCTGCCAGATGCTTATAAATTCCACCAATCGCTTGATAGATTGTAGTCGTCATGAGGACGAAGCGTTTTGTTTTACCGGCGAAAAATCATATATATGCTTGAGAATAAAAATTTTTACCGATTGAGCTTTTGAAGAAATCTGGCTTTTTCGCCAGGTACTGGGGTTTGTCCCGCAGTATCTTACATTTTCAGTTTAATCCATCTAAGGTTTAAAAACAACTTTATCTTTGAAGAAGATTAATTGTGTCTTTGGGCAGTAGTGTTAGTGAGAGGATGAAATCAATAAAAAAGTACTAGGTAAATTAAAAGTAAAGATAAATTAAGTGAATAATGGGTCATCTTTATTTGAATTGTGTATACCTAACCAAGCCCACAAGTCACTGTAAGTTTTACCTTTTTTTATGTATCCTGAAAGAGCAGATTAAACTACTATGCTGAATATTTCAATGATGGTAATTATATAGGAAAAACACCTTTAATCATTTTTATTTTTCTTCTACATATACTCAGTGCCGTTCGGTGTTAGTTTTTTAGTAAAAAAAAACAATTAAATTTTTAAGTATACATTAGCTCGAACTCTAATTGTAGATAGTTGAATACAAGTTACAAAATAGTCTGATAAATTGGTTATGTCAAGGCTATAAAAAAAGATTAGTATAGTGTCTGCAAGAATATTTTTCAAAGAGGCCACAGATGAGACAGAATTGGGAAGACTATGAATTCCTGGTCTTTTTCTATTATTCGTTCTGCATATGGTGCCATACGGTGGCGTAGTACAGTGGAGAACATTTTATTGGCTGCATTTAGAAGCTTAGTTCCTCTGTGGTTAGATCATACAAAGATATTTTTTTTTGTGATATAAGGTTGAATGCTCGAATAAATGAATTTTAATAAAGTAAAAGGCAGATAATGACCACAGTTTATTTATTAAATCTTGCCCAAGTACTATAGACCTTAGAGCATCTTCAGGGGCATCTGAAATAAGCCAAGAAACGTTTTTTTTTTAACTGAAGAAATTTAATTAACTTCAAAAAACTCGAAGTTGATAGTTGATAAAATTTTTTATGTATTATAACGTTGATTGAATAATCCATATAAGTAGACTTCGGCAAATATGCAAATAAAAATGTAGAAAATATGCGCATAAATATGCACGTGTTTACCCGAAAATATGCAAATATTTTACAAAATATGCATACAAATAAATAAAAAAATCGTAAAATAGTAACAATTTTATTTAAAAAAAAAGTGTACATAACTAAATATTTCCTACTATTCATTAAGATTTACATTTATTTTAAGTAACTACATCATTTTTAAGTATGAATAAACTTATTTAGAATTATGGTAACAATAAATGACCAAGTGGTGTTCAAAATTTTCTAACAAAAACTTGTGGCTTCTGTCTGAGTACATATATTTATATATGGAAAAACTTCGTTCAACATCAACTGATGTAACGGGAGCATTTTTCAAACTAACCAAAACATTTGGTTCTAAATTAATTGTTTCCGAAATATTTCCAGCTAGAACACTGACTACTTCAGAAAGAATATGGTAACCTTTATTTTTTTCCATAGTAGCTTCAAATTTTTTTAAAATATCTTTTCCAATATTACCTCTAACGTTCCGACAACATGACGCAAATTCTTTTATTAATGCTGTACTTTCGAACAATGACAGTTTTGGTGATTCTAACTGAGTAATTGTTTTTTGAACAAAACTAAAATTTGATTTTATAAATGAAAGTTCTTGTTGAAGCAAGTTACTCTGAAAAGTTTGTTTAGAATCCAAAAGAGATTGGGAACTTTCATCTGTTAACGTATCAATTATGTTCTTTATTTTAACAAAATGATCTGCATAAAAATTAGCTGCTTCTAACCATGTTCCCCATCGCGTTAAAATAGGTTGTGGTGGAAGAGGAATGTTAGGTAGCATTTCTTTATAAAGTTGAATTCTTATAGGAGATTTAAGAAATACTTTTTTGACACTGGATATCATGGTATTTACAAGAGGAAACTTTTTTCGTATTTCCTCTGCAACTCTGTTTAATCCATGCGCTACACAAGTAACATGTATTAAATCTGGGAAAAATATTTTTAAATTTTGTCCTGCTTTCACCATATAAGGAGCAGCATCCGATAAAATAAGCAGTAATTTATTAGAAGGAATAGTTGTCGGAAGAAAAAAAGTTGCTAATGTTTCTTGTATAAAACGCGAAATTGTTAAAGCATTTGTTTTCTCAAGTTGCTGGCATGAAATAAGATGAGATTTTGGTAAGGTATCTTCTTTAAGAACACCAATCAATAAATGAGCAATATACTTTCCTGAGGAATCAGTGGTTTCGTCTACAGATATGTAAAAATAATTATCTGCAATTTCTTCCTTAATATTAATTAACACCGACGAGTATAGCCCGTTCACATTATTTCTTCTTAGAGACCGATCACTTGGAACATTAAGTTTGCAATATTTTTTTAGAAACGAACTAAAATTTACATTTGCTAATTTTGAAAGCGGTATGTTTGCAGACACTAATGCGCGACACAAGTCTTCATTAAAAGTTTCTTGCTCATCTAATTTTTTTGAAGTAGATTGGAAACATTTAGCCATTGAAGTTTGATGTTTTCCTCCTATTTTTCCTTTTTTTGCAATGTGTGAAGCAGTTCTCACATGTTGGTCTATCTGAAATTTCTTCTCACATGCTATCTATAAATAAAAATAAAAACCTTTATTTTAACCCAACCTTTAAAATATAAAAATATACAAGGTGTTTTTGGTTAATCAAATAACTGGTTTGGAAAAAAAAAACACTCGCTAAGTGTTTTAAATGCAGTATTAATCCACAAATTAGTTTTTGTTACTAACCATTAGTACATCATATAACTTATTTTAAAATTCAACAAAAGTTTTTTTTTTGTTAATTCAATTACAATAAAAATAATTGTGTTTTAGAATAGCTGACTTCATAAAAAAAAGTAAAGGTGAAAAATTTTTCTAAATACACACCATTGTATTGTACCATGGACAATTTTTTCTCACTAAAGGAAGCTATTTTTCATTTAAAAACAACCTACGAGTACTAAATTTCAAGTAAATACGTTTATTGGTTTTAAAGTTATTGTTGTTATTAACTAAAAGAATTTAATTTTTTTTTAATTTTAACACCCTGTATCTCGAAAAGTAAATAAGTTTGACCCCTCATTAACTATATCGTTTTGTTCAATTTTTCGAGAAGTATCTACAGTCAAACGTTGTAAGTGTCATTTGGAAACACCCTGTATGTATGAAATATTAGATATTTAATAGAAAATATTAGATACTTACAATTTTGCCACAGACTGAACAGTAGATTTTTCCCATATCCATAGACAGCTCTTTATAAGGTTTAATCCAAGTTGAAGCACTGGTTGTTTTAGGCATTATAAAATCACAATCTTCCTTTTTGTTACGCACAACGAGTGTTTACGCTTTGAATATCAAAACAAAAATGATTTACAAATCTGAGCATCAAATTAGAAATGTTTAGGTACCTAATTCAATAAACTGGGAGATTTTGGAAAATCCCTAAATTAGGAACAAAACTATTAGCCGTTTACCTGCTGTTAAGATACAATAAATTGTAGATAGATTTGGGGATTAGATCATAAAATGCAAATGAGCGAACCCTTAGCGATTATCCAATAACTGAATGCCTCAGTGACCGAGACTTTCTAAGAATGTTGAGGGCTACTTAAATTGATCTTCTTTGAAATTGTAAATGTTTTGTACCTGTAGAGATTACGTACTTAGATCATTTCTTGATTAAAATGACTACAAAATTTTATACAAGAATTGAAATAAATTGGTATGTTTAAAAATTTTCAAATACAGTATAAAAATCTGAACTTTTATGCACTTTATGCAAACTTTTATACAAATATGCCAAAATATGAAATATTTGCATAAAATATGCACAATATGCAAAATATGCAATATGCATATTTGCCGAAGTCTAATTATAAGGTTTTAGACTTAATTTGTCAAATTTTATATGATTATTAAATATTAAGAATCATACATTAACACAACACGCCACAAGAACAAACAGTTTAAACATTTTAAAAAACGACAAAGCTACATATTTTTTGGTATCAGGAGACAGAAGGGATCCTTAACGTAAACGTTAAAGTGACATATGTCACATGTTAAATTTATACAAATTACTTTGGAAGGTTTCAAGATCATGGTGAGAATAGATGGAGATATTACAGAGGCATTTGATATTGAAACTAGAGTTACACAAATTGATGCCTGCTTAAAAACACTTTTTATTTTAACTTTGGAGGCTATTATCATAAAATTAGATATCAGCAGCTGTATTAATACAAGATTCACTT